CAACCAGGGACTGAGTGTGGCAGGGATGCTAAGGCAGGCCCATTCCTGGGAGACATAGGACTTTTCTAATGGGTGACATTGGCTTGAAGCCTCCCCACTGGCTTTGCTGAAACTTTTTTAGAACTGCATTATATCTACAACTTTCCCTACCCTTCCTTTCCTGCCCTCTGAATGGGTTGAACCTGTCTAATGTCTTCCCTAGTTCCTGTGAGATACTGTCCTGTTATTCCCTCACAGATGTTTCCCGCAATAAATCTCTTGCATCTTTAATTCAATTTTGTCTGCACCTCAAACGATCTGAACTAACCCATCATATTTGATCCATCAGCAAATTTATGTCATTTCTATCTCCTAAATATATCTTTACCATCCATCCACTTCTTTTTATCACCATCACCACTCAAGTAGAAGCTATGATGTTTTTCCCTCAGATTATTCCAACAGTTGACTATTTCAGTCTTACATCTATCTAATCCATTCTCATTGCAGTAGTCAGAATGATTTTTTTTTTTTATAGTAAATCAATCGTGTTGCTTCCCTGTTTAAAACGTTTCAGTGGCTTCCCATTATGCTTAGAGTAAAATTCAAACTCCTACCATGGCCACACAATGCTGTAAAACCTGGCTCCTGCATCTTTCTCCAACCTCATTCATATCACCTTCCTCCTTCTTATGTTCACCTTCAGACATACTAGTGTCCTTTCTCTTTCTACAAATTGCCAAGTCCTTTCTTGCCTCAGTGCCTTTCCACTTGCTCTCCTTTATTCCTATAATACTCTCCCTCCATCTCTTCAGAATGTGGGCTCATTCTCATCCTTAGCTCTCAACTTACATGTCCACTCATCAGTGAGGACTTCACCCAAGCTATCATCTCCCCTCAACACTATCTGACTCTTTCCACCAAGTAGTTATTACTATCTGTAACTATTTTCCTTAGTGTCTGTTCTCTCACTTGAACTGGGATAGGTAAATTAACGTCCATGGACCACCATTTGTTTTTGTACAGCCAATGATCTAAGAATGGTTTCTACAGATTTAAGAGTTTGGAAAAAACATTTAGAAAAAAATTTCATGACACATGATGATTATGTGAAATTTGAATTTTGGTGTCTATAAATAAAGTTGAACACAGCAACTCTCATTCGTTTATGTATTGTCCATGCCTGCTTTCACAAAATAACAGCAAAATTAATTAGTTGTGTATGGTTCACAAATCCTAAAATATTTACAGAAAAAGTTTTCTGACTGCTGTATTACAATGTTAGCTCCATGGGTCATGGCCATCGTTCATCTCATTCAGTCCTTCACTCCCAGTGCTTGCTCTGTAGCTAGGGCTCAATAATTATAGATTGAACAAACCTTCCCTCACTCTCAAAACTATTAGATCTGAGGGGGTAAGTGGGCTTACCTCTCATTGGCTTATTCTGTTCTAAGACCCAGTCAGAAGAATTAGGAACCAATTATTATTGACTCTGGGGAAGCACCTCAAACAGGACTGTATCTTACTCATCTTGAAATACCTAGCACAGTCCATTGAGCAAGGTAGGCTGCAGCTGGAAACCAAAAGAACTCTTTTGGAGTTATTGTTGAGAGGAAATTAAGTAGTGCATGCAAAGGTCTTAGCACAGTGTTTCAATAGGTGTAAAAAGTGTGCAATAAATGTTTGCTGCCGCCTCAATTTTCCTTGCTGTAAGAGGAATAAAAAATCACCCCTTATAGAGTTGTCACACAGGCTAAATTAAAGAATGCCCTGCATGAAAAAGCTTTGTTAAGTCGAGCCCACTATGCAAATGGACTTATCCAAGTGCAGTATGTTAATAAACCTTGGCTTCGAGCAGTTCTGTTTGGAAGGAAGGGCCCTGACTTGGAGGTGAGAACACCTAACATCCTAATCCTTGCCACTTATTAAGTGCCCCTGGACAATCACAACTTTCGTGGCCTATTTCTTTTCTTTGACTGTAAAACCGGCCTCTGAAAGGACGAGACCAACCCTTTCGGCCCACCCTTTCCTTTTCCGCCGGGACAGGAAGACCACGCCCACATCCTAAGCCGGCCGACGGGGGCGGGACCAGGCCGGGGGCGGGACCAGGCCGGGGGCGGGACGGGGCGTGCCCGGGGCGTGGCCTGCCTTGCTCCTCCCCTCCCTGCGGC